AAGAGATATGACAACTAAATGCAATGTATGGCTCTGAACTGATCCCTTTCTCTATAAAGAGTGTTATTGGGACAATTTGTAAAGAATGAATGGAGATTGAGGATTAAAAGAGAGTAATGCATCAACACTAATTTCATGATTTTGATGGTGGCATTACAGTTAGGAGGAGAATGTTGTTGCTTATAGGAAATACACACTAAAATTTCAGAGGTTATGGGTATTGGGTTGGTAACATTCGCAAAGGGTTCAGAAAAAAAGTTCTTTGTACTGTACTTGCGATTTTGCTGTAAATTTGAAATACCTTCAAAATTAAAAAAGAAAGAAAGAAAAGAGGGAAGGTAATGATAAACATAATATATAGGTTACTGATTTCCTCTAGGGATGAAGTAGGGGGAAGGATGGGGAAACCTTAAGAGAGCCACAGGATCAATCTAACAGCCCTGTCTATTCTTAAATTGGGTAGTGACTTCATGGGTGTTCCTTTTATTAGGCGTTGTAACTTACATACATGTTACATTTAACCTTTTGTATGTATAAAATATTATAATGATTTAAAAAATGTATGTTTTAAAGACCATAGGATTGAGAGCACAGCAGACCTAACTTTGAAGCCCGGCTGTGTCATTTTCTACCCACATGAACTTGGGCAAGTTACTTAAGCTTTCTGAGCTTAAGATTTCTTATCTGGAGAATGAGAATAATGACAACTATTCACAAAACTGCTATGAAGACTCAATAGACAGTATACATTGTCAATGCCCTTTAGTCAAAGCCCACCAGGAATACGCCTGTATTTAAATAGGTACAATGTATTACTCCTCGTAATGAGGGAGACTGTGTATCGTAGGGAACTATGGGGGTGTCTCAGTAAGAGGGTGTCAGAAAGAACCTATCATCGGATTTGTGCTTTGCTTGGGTGATTTGGCAGAGTACCCGAGGAAGTGGGGTTTGCTCTAGATTGGATGGTGTCCCAAAGCTGGGGTGATTCTATAAGTGGGTATCTCAGTAAATCTTATCTAGAGGGAGGATAGATTAGCACAAGGATAAAGCTCTAATTGGTAAAGCAGCCAGCGCTCATTCAGTGAGAGGAATGTTTGGTGTTTTGTGTGGAAGTGACCTTGTTTGACATTCTCTGAGACTGTTCACGTCCCCAGGTAGAACACAGCGGTCTAGACTTGAGCATCAGAGCAGCTCGTTATAATACTGAGGTCTAACTGTGAACTTCAGATCAGTTCCAGACATCAGGGGCTGTTTTCGTTTGTTGTTTTCAACCTAAGTATTTGGCACAGTACTTTATCTCTCCTGATCAGCAGCATTCCTCAACCGGGCAGATCAAGCAAACATCAGTCACTGCACCCCCTAACAGAATCTGAACTGGGTCTTTTCCTCCTTGGCTTTGCTGCTGATCACACCAATGTGATCACACTAACGTAATACTAAGGGTAGATTGGTCAGACATAATCAAACTCATCTCCTTTAACATTCTCTCTCTGATAATTCTTTTTTTTTTTTTTTTTGAGGAAGATTAGCCCTGAGCCAACATCCACTGCCAATCCTCCTCTTTTTGCTGAGGAAGATTGGCCCTGAGCCAACATCTGTGCCCATCTTCCTCTATTTTATATGTGGACACTACCACAGCATGGCTTGAGAAGCATGCATAGGTCTGCACCTGGGATCTGAACAAACCAACCCAGGGCCACCGAAAGCTGAGTGTGCAGATTTAACTGCTATGCCACCTGGCTGACCCCTCTGATAAATTATTTTAAAAACAAAGTATTTCCTATCCTAAGAAAACACATCATATCCTCTAGCCATGAAAATCTACAAGATGTCAAAGATAGTATTTGGATAATGTTAGCATTAAATAAATGTGGATGAAAATCTGCAATTGATCTAATATCAGCATACATTCTTAACAGGACTTTTATAAGCATTTGTGCTAATGTTTCTATTCTGGCTGGCAGTATTTGATTAGTTGAAGTATTTGAAACACATTTAAATTATTTGTTTTATGGTTTTGAGGTAATAAGCCACTTTGCCGTGTACTTTCACACACTCTCGAGTCTACGCTTTTAACCATGACACTCTGCTGCCTCTCCGAGGAGCTGCAGCTCCTAAGGTTCCTGACTGTGGACCCCATGCTTTTTCCTCTATGTCATGAGGATGTAGAAACAGGGCCAAGAGATCATATCTAGTACTGCATATTCTTTTAGATTAAAAAAAAAAAAAAATCCCTTGTATCTATAGTTACAACTCCTTTTCGATCATGATGCTTATTTCTCCTCATTTTCTTCCTTGTCTCTATCAGGCATTTCGAAGAACATGGATTGGGGCTTTACTGATTAGCTTTCTTTTCCAGTCTCATTGCCTAATCTTTCCTTATTATTTCCTTCCTTCTACTTGCTTTATTTCATTCTTTCTTTACCAAGCTCTCTAAATTTAGAGATCTTGCTTATTTACTTTTTCAACGTCTTGAACTTGAATTCACACATTTAAGTCTGTTGGATGTTAGTAACTGGGGACTCCCATTCTCCCCCTGGCATTCTTTTTTCCAACCACTCTAGTCAGGCTTCTGTGCCTTCTACTCCACCAAGATTACTCATCAGTCATCATGACCTGCGTGTTGTGAAATCTCACAGATACTTCTCAGTTCAACCCTTATTCCACCTATCTATCAACAGTGATGGACCCAGTTGTCTCCTACATTCTCCTTGAAACAATATATTGATAGTTCTCTAGTGCACCACTTCCTGAATTTCCTAACTAGTCATTAATCTCAATCTCATTTGCTACTTTCTCCTCCCCTAAGCCTCTTAACCAAAAACCAAACACATTTGGTCTCCGGAGCATGTCATTTAACACGCCTTTCAGTATACAACAAAAGTATAATCACATAAAAATCAGTAATAATCATGTAGTAACTGGTGATAATCATTACTTTCTTGATTCATTTATTAGTGTATAAAATAAAAAGGAGAAGTAAGTTCGTTTAAAGTTTTTATTGAAATTCAAAAAAGTATTTCATGTTTGCACTGAATTTGTACTTTCCAAACAAAACTCTACAAGTTGCAATTCATACTGTTTTAAAACTTAAAAACTTTAAGTTGTCACACAGAAAGACAGAATCAAAGTGCTTGCTATCCAGTTTGTGTCTACAGTCACTGTGATCTCCCCACCACCACAGTCAGGAGATACATTCCTTTCAGTCACTGAACCTTAGACCAGTGCATTCACGAGATTTTCTTCAAATATCACGCCGTTGGAATGGCCACGGGAAGTTATACAAAAACTAAGTGCTCACTTATCATTTAATATGGTTTACCTGGATATTTTCAACTTAAAATGACTGCTCCTTTTGCCTTCAGTTCTTTCCCATGAACCCAGGAAACCATAAATCTCTCATACCATGTAAGTCCTTGTGAAAGGAAACACAGGGGACTCGCAGGGTTAAGGGAGGGCCAAATATACGGAGGGGACAGAGCAAGTAACCCTTGGAACATTCTTAAGCAGAAAGAGAGGTCCTGTTTCGCACCTCTGCATGAATCTCCCTTAGAGTCCTTAAGGGTTCAATACAATGAAGATTACATCTGGCCAGATGACTTTCCTGTATTGCATTTCACACACGCTGCTACACACTTTCCACAAACTCAGTGATTTTAATAAAAGCCATTTATGCTAAGTACTTTATCCTCATCATTTTAATGAATACAAAGCCATTTTTTAAAAGTACAAACTCAGCCCAAATGAGAATTGTCAAAACCCAGATAAGACTTGATATATTATTTCCTTCCTTGTTTCTATTAAAGTGCAAATAGAAGTGGCTGACTTGATTCATTTAAGATTATTTTGGCCTGGCATGGAGCTTAAGTTTCAGTGTGTGTGTATGGGGATGGGGAGAAGTGATGAAGGAAGATAGTAAAACAAACACATCTGTCCGGTGGTGATGAGTGCAATAAGACTATAGAGGGTGAAGGGACAGTGGCAGTGAGGGGAGGCCTGCTCATTTACAGAGAACGGTGTGTTAGGTTGGAATTAACCCCTGAAGCTCAGTGGCTGAGCACAAGTTTATTTCTTACTCACATTATATGTCCACCACAGGTCAGCAGTGGGCTCTGCTCCAGTCACTCAGGGACACAAATGATGAAGCCTGCACCATCTGGGACAGGGGGTGCCTCCAGAGTCCCTCCACAGCGGCTGCAGCAGTGGACACCAACCGGAGGGTCATGCAGGGCCCTTGAGTGTACACATCCAATTGGCCAGACCGGTCTCATGGTCCTACCTACTGCAGGGAGGCTGAGAAATTGAGGGGAGATCACGGGTGTTCCATGAGCAATAAACAACTCTATCACTGATGCTCAAAGGAGTCTCCTCTGACACAGTGAAATTTGAGTGGGAACTTTACAAAGGAAGAAGCTGTACAGATGTTTGGAGACAATTATTGTCATTTATGACTCCAACAAATATACGCTTCCTGCTATTTGTTTCTAGTGAGCAGCCACCCCAAATCTTTAAACTAGATATTCTGATGGGTATAACTAACTATCTCAACAACCTGTTCCTTTCTCTCTCATCACTGCTCATCCAAGCAGTAACATCAGACCTTGATTACTATAACAGCCCTACCTACCATGGAACATCACTGCCCTGCTTTACATCCTTTAGGAACATCACCTTCAGGATAAAATCGTAATTCAAGGACTGACAGGCACACTCCTGATCGACAGTAACCCACATCCCCAGCCTCCTCATTCAATAGTCTTCCATATATTTAGACTCTATTGCTCACTTATTACCTATTTAAAATTTAGCATTACAGATAATGCACAAGGCTTTAAACATTACTCCAAGGACTCCTAGAATAAAGTCAGAGTGAAAAGACTGAAAAAAGTTCACTTAAAAAATTAATGTTTATACAATAGCACTTTAAAATAAAGAGTCCCATAAACATTTTACAAACATTGTTTTGTTTTGGGGGCAAAATTATGCTCAGAGACTAAGACTGTCTTTGTCAATAGTTTATTTAACACAGGTTCACTGTGGGGTCTATAATAGTTTTGCAAGCCAATAGCATACAGGATAATGTCTCTTAATAAGTCCATGAAAAAAATAACACGCCACACTCCAAACCAATGACAGATTAATCACACAAAGGCAAGAAGAGATGAAACGAATAAAGTCCAAATTTAGTTTGAGGTGTACCTTTTCATACGAGGAGGCACTCAGGAGAGATGGCTTGACCAACCAAGAGGGGATGTCCACCTGCCAACACAAAAACAAGTCCCTTGTTGCCAGAGCACATTGCAAAGGAACGACAGCACCAGCGTTGGTAGGCAGGCTGATCTCCTGCATGGGGCCACTGTGCAGTTTGTTACCACCACTGATAAGGGAGTCACCCTTACCACAGTAGGAGCTAATGCCCCAATGTCCTTAGAGAATTTATTTAGGTCAGCAAAGTGGTGCCTTGCCCAGACACAAACTCTCAAATAATCCTCACAAACTCTGGGTATTTATAGTCTGAATGCCCCCTTGTGATAGTTGCTTCTCCACATGTTCTTACTGATCAGCCCCCAGCGGGGCCCCTCAGCAGCTGGGCTACTGAGTTCTTATCATGGACAACAGATGAAATGATGACATCCTGACACAACTTACTTCATTCTTAGATCAAAACAATAATGTTCTTTTTGTCTTTGTCACAAACAAGTGGATTAAAACAACATAAGTCATAAACTAGTGGATTTGAAATCATATTAAACCAGTACACAACAATCCACCCTGTGATTTTAAATCATTCACACACCAATTAATTATCAAGGCCTAATGCCCTGTAGAAATTTAAATTCACAAAAATATCAATCCGCCCTGTGATTCTAAATCACTTACAATCTTAATCACAAGCAATCATATTTTGTGGGTATTTTTTCCTTTGACACACATTCTTTTACACTATAGTTTCATGATCACTTTAAGGAACCATATTCCCAATATTATCAATAAAGTATAGTAAAGAACTCTTTAACATGATGCCATATCCAATCACCAAAAGATCAAATATTAAGTTTCTTCAACCACTCACAAGCTTCCTTGACCATTGCACTTCCATGTAAAAGCCATTTTTATAAAGCTGCAGGGGGTACAAGCTTGCATAGCATCATTAGGCACACGCTCAACTGTCATTACATCAGAATCTAAAGCTGTCATAACTTTGGGAAAAGCATATTTTTGTTCTGTTTTCAATTTCTGCAAAGTTATTTTGACTTTATTAGTCTCATCTTCTAGATGTTCTTTGTCTTAAGTTTTCTAATATACCATTTAAAATTATTAAATTAATTTTAGGAGGTCCAATGTGAAACATTTCTCTGGTTATTTTATGGTTCCTTTATCTTCTGATGACCTTAAATAATATCTTTTTTCTCCTACTGTTACATTCATTACCTGTTCTATTTCTACACATCCCATTATTTTGTGTTATGTTCCCCCCGAATCCAGCAGGTTAGGGTAAGGTTTGGCTTAGAGTATACTATCATGCCCAGTTTCCCATACTATATTTAACTGGTTGAGGAGGCATCAAGGCCATAGTCATGGGTACTTGTACCACAGGTATATCCAAAGGTCTAGCAATAAGAAGGACATTTTGATTCCGTTCCACTAACACATCCTTAGGAACACATTTTCCTTCTATCATACAGGGGCTTTCTGTGGCCTGTAGGCTCGTCTCCCTTTTGAAATTGGGAACTGCAAAAGTGGGGTAACTCAATGTCATGTTTCCTCCTTTAGTGCAATATTCTCATTTCACAGATGCCCAAGGAATCACGACCATTAGGATGTGTGGTATCTACTCTACTGCTGGTTGGACTGTCTTATCTCAGGTGACCAGTACTGCCCTGAGATTACAGCTGTTCCAAGTCTTCCACATATCAACCAATCTTAACCGCAGTAATTGATAATCTACACTGAGAGAAACATTTTTTATGTTGTTTTTATAGTATTTTGTTATTTTTAGCATTTTCTCCAGTTGTTTTATGTAGACTCTCTATTGCTATATTTACTTCCCTATGAAATTCATTTATGTTTTATAATAAATTGCTAATTGTATCCATCTGTGTACCCAACTATGCTAACGCTGCCATTGCACGTGTGTTAAATTGAGATTGTTTGGTTTCAAAGTTTTTAAAATCTAATGTGATTTGATCAATTTGGAACTGAGAAAAAGCAGCTGCCATTGCTCCTCCAATTAAACCTCCTAAGAGTCCAATAAGGAACTGTAAGGCTTTTCTTCCTTTCAGCACATCTGTTTTTGGCATAGGTTGTAAATCAGGCATAAATGAAGACAGATAAAACTGAGCACAATTTGGGGATCCACATCCCGCTTGAAAGACTTGTATATTAAATTTCAAGGTATAGGTCACTACTGTGGGCTCCAACATGACCGTGAGAGGTTTTACTAACACAGGTTCCCAAGTTCTTGAGGTAGAAATCTGTGGTGTGAGCTAGAAGGCAGAGGTATACCCCTGAGTCTAATGAACGGCATGTATTATAGCTAGGTTTCCTCTGTGAACTCTACACACTTTATAAGGTGTCTCTGTTCTTTTAAAGTTGGACATAGTGTCCATGGATCTATTCTAATAGGCGAATACAGATTAAACAGCGTAAGTTGGGAGTGTAGGAAATGACAAAATTTTGTCATATTTATAATTAAAGATATAACTGCCCAATTGTCTTCATGTGGATGCGCTGTGACAATGTCTATCCCTAGAGTATCATCACGACCCATGGCTGGAACTACACATTCCATATTCCATAAACTCATCTCTATTAGTTTTTAACAGTTTTTCTAGGTTGGTTCAAATCTTCTAGTTTAATATTTTACTTCTCACTCTCATTTTTCACCAGTCACCTATTAATTTTTCATGTGGTCTGTTCCATAGAGCACGATTTTACTCCAATTGGCAATTTTTGACATATTATTATCATACAGTTTTTTTACACTGACATGAGCATGCTCCTGCTTCCCATCTAGCAGTATTTATCTCTACATTAGTCATGGTACATCCCAGTGTGCATCCCAGAAACTGGTTCCGAGATTCTTGTCTCATCACTAAAGGAGCAATCTGCCTGTGGCTCATACTCACGAGATTTGTATGTCATTCATATGTTCTATTCAAGGATATATTGTTTGTAAAATTTAAAGTTGAATAGTTGACCTTAGGCATGGATCACCATTAATGTTTGGTTCACAGTTGCATTGTTTGGTACATCCCCACATGAAGATTTAGAAATATTTTGCAAGGTAAAAGATGGCACCAAAATATTTATATGTGTTTTGTTACAACACCAAATTAATAATTTATAATCCTTCGGTATGAGTATGAAAAGGGTGATACTGTCTGGTCCTGCAAAAGTATTTAATACAGCATCAGAGCACACAGAGGAACTGTGTATAGCAACTTGCTCTATTTTCCCCAATCTTCATTACTCTGTTAATATTTGTCTGTGCATGTACAATACTCTTCTGTCTTGGTTTCCAGACTGTTTTGCTTTGATCATGTTTCCTGGCCTACAGTCATCTCTATAGCATTTGTTAAACAGAAAGGATCTTTCTGTTATACACTGTAACATTACCTTACTGTTTGAGTAAGCTGTTGGGTACTTAAATACATGAGATAAGCCACGTTTACATGTTTCATAAATTAGATTTGTTAGTACCAATGGAAAAATTCTGTTGCCACTTGAGTTAAGAATATGTAAGAGAATCACTGTATGTTGTAAAAAATGTGTAAGGGTTAAAGAATTCTGCTAGGGATGTGGCAAGAGGTGTTTCATGTATGGTTAGATTGCCATAGCGGAACAGGTTAGGCCATTCTGTGACACAAAGTCTAACTTCTGCCATCAGTGGTATTGCATTCCCATGGGACTCCTAAATATAGACACTGTTTGTATGGAAGTAGAGATAGTTTGTCATTTATTTCGGGTATCGTTTTGGTGGAATCAATAAGTACCTTATTGACTATATAAATTGGTATGGTGGGTGTCTGAGTGGCGTGAGTGGTATTTTCTCTGTTATTTTCATAATAAAAAAATAATAATCATGGTTCTCCACCTTATCCCATGCAGATACCCATTGCCACATAGCTAAGTGATACAGGCCTTTGAGTGATGTCTCTGAATATCAGTCACATGTCCTGTGAGTATCTAGTTGTGGTTCTCTGTCACTAGCATTGTCATTTTCTACCCTGCCAATTGATGAAATGTACTCAAAGAGCATTGTGCAAGGGTGTAGCATTGCCACATTTCTACAAATGAATCTTTTGAGGTCTGTGTGTAGAGAGCACATAGAATCTCTCCATTGTATTTCTTTTAGTATATTTGATCATATTCAACCAACATGGTATATGAAATTTTCTTCCTACTGCATGTTTAATTCTATCATAGCATGGGATATTAAACTGGTGTTTATACATAATGGTTTAATTATCTTTTCTAATACATCCTTATTAGTATGTGTGTATGCAGGCAATTTGGTAATTTCTTGTAGCCAAGTTTGGTCTATTGCTAAAGCCAAATATTTGCCTTTATATCGCACAAGATTTTGATCTACTGGGTAAGGATCAGTGGTAGTGTTGATATGCACAAGAAATGTAGCTGTGCTGGAACTGGGTGCATATAAGCTTTTTCCCATTAAACATAAGATAATAAGCAATTTAAGCAACATACAATGCCTAGGGATGCCAAATGGGTGGGTAACTAGTCTCCAAATTCTGAAATGAGCAAGAGCAGCAAGATGGCCTAGTATTTGAGTGGCCATAATATTTGAAATGGGTCTTGGCTGTGGGCACCCAAGCGCCCATTCTGTATATTGTGCAGCTGCTCTAGTGCAATAGTATGCTAAAACACTTAGTAGATCCGAATCAGATGTGGGTTGTTTTTAGTCAGTCCTTAAAATGTATCAGTGCTGATCCTACTTCACAAAGGGAAGGGAAGGGAAGAGTACAAAAGCCAGTACCTGGTTGTATTGGTATACGTGCTGGGGTATAATACTAAGAGTCAGTTAGAAGATCAGGTCAATCTTCACCCTCCGAGCCTGTGTCTAATGGGGGGTGTTCTTCAGGATCCTCGTTGAGGCTTGTGGAGATTGAAGTGGAGGTTTCTACTGCTTCCTTGGCTTCCCTCAGTATTTGCTTTCTTCGCTGACTGAAGGTTCCCCAGCCAGTAGATGGTGCTGATGGTGAAAGATGGGGTGGAAAGGATGGGCTTGGTGATGCAGGTGAGTCCTCAGATGCAATAAGGTGACAGGATGGTGTTCTGTGGAGGAAGTAGAGGATGTCACAGACTGTGGAGTTGTCTCTGGACCAGAGGTGGCATTCCATTTTGGAATGGTGGCACAACTGCTATTTCTGGAGCTGTTGGAGGAACATGCATAGCTGCATGAGTATGATATCCCATAATGAACAATGAGCAAAATAGTATGGCCAGTAGGTAGCATGCCACACTGACCCACTTAGCCATATTTATAGGGTTCAAGATGCAGAGCAGATTCATGTCTGCAAAATAAAAATAGTGTACTATAAATTTCTACTTCTTCCTTGTTGTTCTTGCTACTCAAGAAAATCTATAGCTGTTATGGTCATTACTGCCAATACCACCTTGAGCATAATCACCTTGCATCATGATAGGCTAAATATTAGGCATCTGATACAAAAATGCGTCTACTATTAAGTGCACTTAAAGTGCATCATCATATAAAGAGTAAATATCTTTTTAGCACCAGCATCCCGTGCTGATACAATTGAAGATGATGCTATTCATGCTGGAAAATTTTATAGAGGCATATTGTTTTCTTTAATTTGCTATGTCTTTTTAATTTGCTTTTTCAATTTTGTTTTAATTTCATATGTCTTTTTAATTTTTTTTTTAATTTGATACATCTTTTCCTTCGGTCACCCAGTAGGTTTTATTAATGGCAGATACTATAGTTTCCCTAGTACTATATATATCATTATGTTTTTAAATTAATATTTCTTTTAATTTAGATTCGAGGGTGTTAATAGTGCTAATTCGTATCTTTGTGGGTGCCTGCAATATTAGTTCAATAGGAGTTTTTCCATTCCTTTTACATCTATGGTTTAGACATGTTGCTGTTTCCCAGACGGCTTTAGTCCAAGCTTTCATATCTGGATTGTTAGTAAGCAACCTAAGCTTTTGCCTGAGCAAGCAATTATACCTTCCAATTGATCCAGAGGCAGCTGGGCTGTGGGATAACTGGAAGTTCCCTATTATGCCCTGGTTTTTGGCCCAATCTTGAGTTAGCTTTCCTATAAAATGGGTGCCCTGGTCTGATTCTATGATCGTTGGGATACTGTAGCAAGCAATCCAAATTCCAGTGCTCTGAGAGAGAATTTTTGATCACTTTTCTTGAAGGATAGGGTAATCCCATTCCTGAGCATATGCCCACAATGGTGCATGCAGTTTATTCGCTGATAGAAGCAAGGGTCCTATATAATCAATTTGTATTATTTGCAGGGTTCTGTCAGCTTTAACCTTATCTGGAATATTCATTAATGACCCTCAAGCTTTAAACTTTTGACAATTCTCACATCTTAAGTTGAAATTGGAGGTATTTGGTAGGTATATAGATGTTTCTTTTCTCTAACCACGTTCTAGTGCTGTGTATGGTAGCATGACATGTTTTGTGATGTGCCCATGCAATGATCTTATCGACTGGCATATCTATGTGTTCAGGTTTTACATTCCATTGTCCTTCTCGTTTATGTATCATTGTGCTTTGAATTGGTTTCCTCCTTAGCCATGAATCATTGTGCTTCTTGAGAAAGGATCTTAGAAATCCTCATTAGTTTTCCTATTGAGTTTGTCTACAGGGTTATTAGTTATTTCAGAGTTGTCCTTCCGATGTGCAGAGACATGTGATAAAGATGGAGATGTCAGCCAGTGCTATTTTCTGCCATGTTTTTACCCCTTATGTTCTTATTTCCTATTTTCCAGTCATTTTCCTGCCACATTCCTGAACAAGAACTAGTCCATTAGCTACAGCTCACGAGTCTGAAAAAAGATATACCTCATTTTGAGTTTCCTTAACAGATTGTTCAAGTGCCAATTTTACGGCTATTAGTTCAGTGTATTGTGCTGATTCTCCTGAGCCTGGTTCTGTCACGGTTACACTGTCACTAGCCCTCAAGGCTGTGGCCTGTCAGCATGGGATGGTGTCATGGAGGCTGACCCATCTGTAAACCACGCACTGTTGAGTGCTGTGGACCATGGTGGTCCCTGCTGTCCAAGTGCTTGAGCTTGGATAGGCTCACTCCTCAGAAATTCTGGCAAGTCCACTACTGGCATTGCTCAGATTTCCTCAGTTAATGCAGATGGTCAACCATCCATTCGTATGGTCCGCTAGGAAATATACCATTTCCATGTTAGGACTTTACAGTCAGGGGTAGTCCCCCTGTCAGAAGTCTGTTTCACCCACTCCAGAATAGGCTGTAAGAGTTTAAGCATAATTGGTTTACTTTCTGTTAATGGTTCTGTATTTTGTAGTACCTCAAAGAGTATCCAAGTGAGCTTTTCAATTGGTTGGCATCTATTCTCGAACCATGGGAACTTCTTCGTCCAAAACTCAACTGGGTAAAATTTGGGGTTCTAGTGTTTTAGTCCTTGTGACTACAGGCACTCTAGTTTATATTTAGTCTTCATTAGCTGGTGCCAAAGCGTTAAAAGTTCTTACAGCATTTTTCAAATAAGTAGACTGCCTCTTGAGTCTCTGTCCATCTCAATTTCCTACTCTTCCTAGCTATTTCATAGATGGGTTTCAATATTATCCCTGTGTGGTATGTACTGTTTTCCAATATTCAAACAGTCCTATCAGTTTCTGAGATTCTTCTTTTGTGGTAGGAGTTGGTATGCAATCTATCTTGTTTACGACTAGGTCTGCTATTTTCCTACCTTCAGAGGACCAAATTATGCCTAGAAATTTTCTTGCAGTTTGGGGTCCTTGGACTTAGTACATGAGTTGGTTGTCCATCCTGAGCGTATGGAATTCAGTGAACTCTATCTTGACCCTAGCCTGTTCTAAGTTATCACCATAAATAAGGATGTCATTAATATAAGAAATAATGGTTTGTGTGTTTTGTGTTTTCCTGAAAGGCTTGTGTGTCTTGTGTTACTAGGTTGTGTGCTGTCACTGGGTTGGTAAGATACCCTTGTGATAACTTAGTAAACTGATACTGTCTACCTTCCCATGTTAATACAGTCATGGGTTGCCTCTTCTCATCAAATGGAACAGCAAAGAACAGCTCAGATAAATCCATTACTGTATAACTTCTGGATCCAGTGGTGATATTGTTTATGATCGTGCCTGTATCTGGGAGTGCTCCCTCAATTTTTGGAGAGTGTTTAAATCCTATAATTAATATAAATTTATATGATCCATCTGGCTTTTTAACAGGCCAGACTGGGTTATCATATGGTGAAAATAGTAAGCACAATAATTTGTTTCTTTAGGAGTTCCTGAATTTTTTCCTTGAGTATGTCCTCCCTTAAGATTGCATTGGGGTATATTTATTATTTCAGATGGGACAGGCAGCTTAATTGCAGTTCATTTTGCCATAGCCAAATTAGTTTTAGGAATTGTTATATCCTTGTTATATGGTGTCCTATTACATCCATTCCAAGAATGTTTTCTAAATTGGGACCTACAGGCATTTAGCCTTAATGGGTGATCTATCACCAATTGTTAGGAATCTATGTACCCACGTATTAGTTTTCCTCTTAATCTTTCAGTGAGTCCCTTTTTATTGTTAAAGTATTCTAAATTAGTAGAATATCCTTCTATCATTGTTACTGAGACCCTGTATCTAATAACATAGTACTATATGTAGGGTTACAAATGGGGTTTCTATTTACATGGCCCCTGCAACAAATGACGGTCGCATGGGCCATGAGATGGAGAATGCTGAATCCCTATGGGGGTTCATTGGGTTTTCTCTCCTTCCCCTATCAGTGGCTTGTTTATTAATGGAATTGGGTTTAATAAAGGAGCTATTATTTACAGTAAATGCATTAGTGGACCTATTTTCCGTAGGTGTATTTCCTTTAAAAGGTAGATTACTTCCATTTGTCTGACACTATAAGTAGTTTCTGGGGTTTCTACTGAGTTTCTGTTTTTATAATTTGGATTAAAGGGTGGTGACCCAAATAGTTTAGGTGGCCAAAGGGGCCTCATAGATTTAGGTCTATATGGTTTATTTTGATTGGATCTGTTTACATAAGGCGTACGCCTGTTTTGTCTCTATATATTAGTGTTAAAGCTATTGATTTGATCTTGACTTTGCTCCTCCTCAGCTGTTCTCAGCAAGCCAATCAGCTCTGCTGTGTTCCTGGTGCCTGCAAATACTGTAAATAATGATGTTCTGTCCTGTGGTGATACAGCTTTTAGGAGGACTTTTTCAATTTGTTTGGTTGTTTCTGGTTGTAGCAGTGGATGCAGCCTTCAGGATGACTTTTTAAATTTGTTTGGTTGTTTCTGGTTGTAGCAGTGAAGGCGTCTGTCTCCGGCATAAATTATAGTCAATAGTCCTAATTTCATTATTATATTAGTAGCTTCCTTTGCTGTTTTCCATGGAGATTTTTTTTTTTAAAGATTTTATTTTTTTCCTTTTTCTCCCCAAAACCCCCTGGTACATAGTTGTATATTCTTAGTTGTGGGTCCTTCTAGTTGTGGCATGTGGGATGCCGCCTCAGTGTGGCTCGAGGAGCGGTGCCATGTCTGCGCCCAGGATTCGAACCGACAAAACACTGGGCCGCCTGCAGCGCAGCTCGTGAACTTAACCACTCAGCCACGGGGTCAGCCCCTCCATGGAGATGTTTTAAAGGATAATATATTAGGTAGGCCATCTTAATCTCCAGGTTGCTGCTCCCCAAACAAAGATCTTTGTAAACTAGTATTATGTTTTCCAAATGCTCAAAAGTGTTGATTAAATTAAGCATCAGTGGTAATGGGTTCAAGTTGTACAAGCTCTGCTCCTATGAGATTCAGGCTGTGTCCTCCTCTGGACAATAAATCTAATATCCACCGGGTTCTGTGTCCCAATCAGTTTGTTGGAATTTCATTCTAATTTTTGTAATTTCTTGTCTAGTATAAGCTCTCCCTTTAATAACTCTGATTAGTTCCATATTATCATTTGTTGTAGTTTTGTCTATTTACATGGGTCTAGCTTCTAGTAGGTTAAAGTTACGGGGGTCAAAAGGGTAATAAAAATCATAGTGCTCAGGGCGTAGACTTTTGCCCTTAGGAGCAAAAGGGTCTGAGTTTCTTCCTACTCTGGAGATCACTGTTTGTGCTAGCACTTTTCCTTTCTGCCTGTCAACATCTATGTTAGTAATGTTCCTAATAAGAGTGCTGGAATTTCTTCCTTATTGCTCTTTTTAATATAGGATATAACTCACTGCGTTGGGTGATCAGGCCGACCTGGAGTTTCCTTAATTTCAACTTTTGTCTGGACTAAGTCTTCAAGAGGTCTCCAGGGGTCCTCAGAAGTTAATATATAATCCATTCCACCCCTAAAGCAGCTCTCGAGTAATGCTGGTATGGTTAACGAGCAAGGCATGTTTGCTACGTCCTTCTGCCTTCCACAATTGTGCTCAAAGTATGTTTTATTATAGACGCTTAATAGAGCATTCCAAATGGTTTATAACACAGTAAAGTAGCAGTAATTATGTAGTAATTATTATGGCCAATGTTAGTATCTGAACAGCTCCATCAGTTTGTCCATTCACAGCTTATTTATAATTTTAGCAGGATGCCATAGATGGTTAAGTAGTACATTAAGTTTAAAATTTGTCAATCCAGTAATGGGCTTTACTAGAATTTGGTAAGTTATAAATTTAACATAATTTATGAATCTACATTTCAAATTTGTAATAGAGTATGACATATCCCACAGCACCGACCAATTTTAATTATTATTACTTTTGGGTCAGTTTTGCCAACTATGCCAATTGTTTCATTTTGGGGGCAAAATTATGCTCAGAGACTGAGACTATTCTTGCCAACAGTTTATTGAACACAGGTTCACTGTGGGACTTATAATAGTTTCACAAGCCAACAGCAGACAGGACAATGTCTCTTAACAAGCCAACAAAGACGTAACTAACATAACATACCATGCTCCGAACCAATGACAGATTAATCATACTATTGTTCCAGGGCATGTTGCTAGGGAATGACAGCACTGGTGTTGGTGGGCAGACTAATCTCCTTCATGGAGCCACTGTGCGGTTGGTTTGTCACTACTACCGACGAGGGAGTCGCCTTTACCATCATAGGAGCTAATGCCCCAAGGTCTTTGGAGAGTTTATTTAGGTCAGAAAAGTGGTGTCTTGCCCAGACCAAAACTCTGGAATAATCCTCACTAACTCTTGGTATTTATAGTCTAAACATCCCCTTGCCACAGTTGGGGCAATGCCCATAGCCAAGAACATATGGAGACACGTTCTTACTGATCAGCCCTCAGCGAGGCCCCTCAGCAGCTGGGCTACTGAGTTCTTACCACAGACAACAGATGAGATGACATCCTGACACAACTCACTTCATTCTTATATCAAAACAACTTTTGTTTTGTCTTCATTATAAACAAGTGGATTAAGACAACTTCACTTAAGTCATAAACAAGTGGATCAGGAAACATATTAAATCAATACACAACAATTAATATATTATTTCTTACACCTATTAATAAGTTATATACTACGTGTAATTGTCTTCACTTCAGGAAGAAATGAAGTAAGCCTATTTTGAATACCAACAGGCTTAGAAAACATTCATAAACCCTTGTGTTTAAGTAGCACAAACTCTCAGGAAACCTCCTCCCCCAGGCAGCACAGCAGAGCAGAGTGGAACTAATTTGCCTTCCACCTTCTTCCATAACCAGCACTGTGTGCTCAGACAAGTTACTTCATTTTGTTATGCACTAGTCTCTTTGCCTGTAATACAGGCATCATACCCATCCCACTATTTTAAAGGTTGTTTTATGTAATCAATGTGAGAAAATGCATTTATTATCAAGCATGTGTGTATGTTTCACAGGTTACTTCACACATGCCCTGAAATTGTATACATAAAAAGTTTGAAATTTGACAATGTTAACCTCATCAACCAAAACCAATGTTAGAAATGAATATTAAAAAATACCAAAATAAAATTTCAAAATACACTTTACACTTTCAGGCTCCAAAACATGAACTTTATAAGCACTTTCAAATATTAGCAGAAATACAGCTTTGATAATAATCTTTTGAGGAAGTTTTATTAATACATAATCAGGTATGCTGTACATGTGCACTTAAATCTAACAAGCCAAAAATTCAGTATATTACGAAAGGGATACCTCCTAAGAATTCTAAATTATTTTTACATCATCAAAATAATTTTGGCAGCATAAATTCACAAGAGTTAAATATCCACCTGATCAACCCTAGTATCTAGACAGACCTCAGCGATACTGTGGGTTTGGTTCCAGACTACTGCAATAAAGTGAGTATCGCAATAAAGCAAGTTGCACAAATATTTTTTGGTTTCCCAGCACATATAAGTTATGCTTACAGTATTTTGTAGTCTGTAAGTGTGCAATATAGCATTATGTCTTAAAAAAAAAAGTACATACCTTAATTAAAAAATACTTTATTGCTAAAAAATGCTAACCATCATCTGCGCCTTCAGCAAGTCGTAATCTTTTTGCTGGTGGAGGGTCTTGCCTCGATGTTGATGGCTGCTGACTGATAAGCGTGGTGGCTGCTGAAAGTTGAGGTGGCTGCTGCAATTTCTTAAAATAAGACAGCAAAGAAGTTTGTCGCCGCATTGACTGATTCTTCCTCTCAGAAACGATTTTTCTGTAGCATGCAATGCTGTTTGATAGCATTTTACCCACAGCAGAACTTCTTTCGAAATCGGAGTCAATTCTCTCAAACCCTGCCGCCGCTTTATCAACTAAGTTTATGTAATATTCTAAATCCTTTGTCGTCATTTCAACAATCTTCACAGCATCTTCACCAGGAGCAGATTTCATCTCAAGAAGCCACTTTCTTTGCTCATCCACAAGAAGCAACTCCTTATCCGCTAACGTTTTATCGTGAGATTGTAGCAACCCAGCCACATCTGCAGGATAACTCGCTGCAGCTTCTGTATCAGCACTTGCTGCTTCACCTCGCACTCTCATGTTACGGAGACGGCTTCTTTCCTTAAACCTCATGAACCAACCTCTGCTGGCTTCAAACTTCTGTTCTGCGACTTCCTTACCTCTCTCAGCCTTCATAGAATTGAAGAGAGTTAGGGCCTTGCTCTGGATTAGGCTTTGGCTTAAGGGAATGTTGTGGCTGGTTTGATCTTCTATCCAGACCACTAAAACTTTCTCCATATCAGCAATAAGGCTGTTTCGCTTTCTTATCATTCGTGTGTTCACTGGAGTAGCACTTTTAATTTCCTTCAAGAACTTTTCCTTTGCATTCACAACTTGGCTGACTGTTTGGCGCAAGAGGCCTAGCCTTCTGCCTATCTCAGCTTTCGACATGCCTTCCTCACTAAGCTTAATCATTTCCAGCTTTTGATTTAAAGTGAGAGATGTGCGACTCTTCCTTTCACTGGAACACTTGGAGGCCATTGCAGGGTTATTAATTGGCCTAATTTCAAAACTGTTGCTCAGGAAACAGGGAGGCCCAAGGAGAGGGAGAGACAGGAGAACAGTCAGTGGAGCAGCCAGCACACACAACATTTACCGATTAAGTTTGCCGTGTTATATGGATGTGGTTCCTGGTACCCACAAACAATTACAATAGTAACATTAAAGATCACTCATCACCATAATAAATATAATAATAATGAAAAGTTTGAAATATTGCAAGAATTACCAAAAATGTGACATAGAGACATGAAGTGAGCAAATGCTGTTGGAAAAATGGTGTAGACAGACTTGCTCAACGCAGGGTTGCCACAAACCTTCAATTTGTAAAAAATGCAGTATCTGTGAAGTGCAATAAAGTGAGGCGCAATAAAACGAGGTATGCCTGTGTATCGTATCAGGAAGCCTTTGCATATAGATACAGACACAGATTTCTGCAAACTGGTCAAGAACTCTGCAAAGTTCTCCAGGATGCAAAGGCATCTCCAGGAGGTGCTGATGGAGTGAGGGCTGCCTCTCAGCTCAGCAAGCCTACAAGCAACAGGGCAGTTTGGGGAGGGTCATAGGCACAAGAAGGGAGGTGATGGCAGATGGCGAATTATGTAATAGCAGGAGGGTTTCTTTTTCACTGTTACGTGCTTACCCACCCAACTCCATACCAATACACCCTCCAGGAAATGTTAAAAGAAAAAGTCTTAGCTTCAGAGGAATAGTGTTTCAGAGTCTTCAGCCAAAAAGGTCTTCTTCTTGTCCTTTAATTTCTAGTTTTGTAACCTAACATCCTGAAGATACTATTTCTCTTTGCTTTAAGTAGTCAACATTTTCAATGCATCTAGTTTTTCAGCTCTGACTATCCATCACTTAAATGCTTGGCTATTTATCATCTCTAGAAAAGAAAAAAAGAAACATTACTATTTTAGGATGCATGGATTTTTACAACAAATCTCTGACCAAATCCTCCTTAATTCACTAAACTCCCTTGTTCTGACTCCAAGATCACCACTTTCCATGTTTTCTTTGGAAAACAGATCTGTCTCCTAACTGATGACCCCACTCACCCTCCCCACTTACCCTTAGGCCTGCAGTCACAGAGATGGTTCTAAAACGCAAAGCTGATGCTGTTCCTCTAGTACTTAAAGTCTTTCAAAAGCTTCCTATTGGGGCCAGCCTGGTGGTCCAGCAGTTAAGTTCGCAGGTTCCGCTTTGGCGGCCTGGGGTTCACTGTTTCGGATCCCAGGTGAGGACCTATGCACCACTTGTCAAGCCATGCTGTGGCAGGTGTCCCACATAACAGAGGAAGATAAGCATAGATGTTAGCTCAGGGCTAGTCTTCCTCAAAAAAATAAATTAAAAAAAAAAAAGCTTCCTACTTACTGCCCACAGGGTGAAAGTAAATTCTTTAATAAGAGTCTAAGGGATTCCAGGACCTGGGTCCTGTTAACCTGTCAGCGCATCTTTGTCTCTCGTCTCTCAAGGCACACTTTGGGACATATCCTCAAAGCGCCAAGCTCTTTTTTACACCTCTAAGCCTTTTTTCACTCTTGCCCCTCAGCTTGGAACATCTCCCAGCCTCAGCCATTTGCCCTGGCTTTAGCTCTCAGCTTGGACACATCTCAAAGAAAAGCCATTAGCTATTACCTTTACACACACACTTTCACATAAAAAAAGAGCCGATATAGCTTACAGGTAAACCAGACTGCATGGATACAAATCCTGGCTTTGCCACTTAAGGGCTGTGAGACCTCTGGTGGCACATTACCCTGTATGCCTCAGTTTCTTCATCTGTAAGTGGCAATAATAACTAGTCACTAATGGTGTAAAAATTAAATGAGTTAAATTATGCTTACTATATAACATGTGCTATGTAAATGTTGCTATTATTACTAACAGACATTTTGAGCACTCACTGTGTGCTGGCCCCTTTCTGGTGCTTTTATATGTCTTAAGTCATCTAACCTAAGGCATGGTGAAGTGCCCATCCTGTGCGCTCTGGCAGCCCCATACAAAACACTTACTATCTAAGTGCTTCTGTGACTTTCCCAATAGGTAGTAAACTCCCTGAGGGTAGGGCATGTATCACGTTTATCCCTGTATCTCCCCACATCCTAAGGGTACCTCACATTTGTACGCAATGAATAAATGGATTTGATTTCAGCCTGGCACCTCTCACCAAATACTCTGAAGAAGTTCTTTGTATTGTTCACCTTCTCCTCAGCCCCTCTGAGGTTCTATCCCTGCTCCACTGAAACTGGCCTTCTCAAGGTCACCAGTGCCTCCCCGTTGCCAAATCCAATGTCTTGGCAGCATGCAACCCACCTGACCACTCTCCTCCTTCTGAGGCATGCTTCTCGTAGATTCCACGTTGTAGGAGTACTAGTGGGATGAGTTTTGAAGTACCATGGTTGATAATCTAGTGGCTCACGTCTTGTGGGATAAAAGCCTATTGCAGCCTGAACTGTCTGAAACAGTATTTAACATGGAGGTCTAAAGAGAAATAGCTCAACTTAGACCATGAAACTGCTACAGGTCCTATGTAGTCCTGGGTAGTAACTTTTGCAGAGGCTTGACGGGCCCATAGTGTAGGGGGGCCACCAGACCACCACAGTAGTACATGTACATCTACTTTCAAACCTGAATTTACTACCATTCTCTCTCTCCTTCAGAGCATTTTAACACTAACTCCTTCAGCAATAACCTTGTAAATTCATAAACAATACTAGCTCCCACTCTGATGATCCCTAATGGGCCAGTATCTTATTAATGCCACCTTATATCACATGCAAACTTAAGCATGGATTCAAAGTTACGTGATTAGCAAGAAAGAGGATGAGGCAAATTCCCTGTGCCAACTCACACCAACGGTCCTCAACCCAAAATCCTTATCAAATTAAGCCAGGGGGCTTGAGTCTCTCAGTAAAGTTACCGAATCAGACTCTCTAGGAAGGTAAGACTTAGACACAGACAGTCTGTAAAGACTCCCACGGAGATTCTGATGAGTTGCCCTAGTTAAGAACCAGGCATCAGATGAAGGTGTCTGTGATTCTACACTGGGCTAGGTGAGGGTGTTCCAAGGACTGGAAAAACAATTCCTCTCCAGGAATGGATATACAGGCATGCCTCAGAGATATTGCAGGTTTGATCCAGACCACGGCAACAAAGCAAATATCGCAACAAAGTCATACAAATGTTTTGGTTTCCCAGTACATATAAAAGTTACGTTTACAGTATACCATAGTCTATTAAGTGGGCAATAGCGTTATGTCTAAAAAAACAACATACACATCTTAACCAAAAAATACTTTATTGCTAAAAAAAGGCTAACTATCATCTGAGCCTTCAGCGAGTCATAACCTCTTTGCTGGTGGAAGTTCTTGTAAGAAATGTAATATCTGCAAAGAGCAATAAAACAAAGTGCCATAAAACAAGGTGTGCCTGTAAACACAAAACCACATATGGCCATTCCTTCAAGAAAGGTTTAAAACTGCCATAGTTGTAGCATGTCTGTACAATGACGAGGAAACTTTGATTGCTATAAGCCACACAGTATTGAAAATAGAAAAAATATATATTACACAGTAACAGACTTGCAAGATACCAAGTCCCTCAAATCTTTAAGACCGCAACAACATCCACACAAAAATACAAACAAAAAATTGTTTTAATAAAAATACTAGATTTATCTATCTCTTCTCTGAAATGCTTTTGGCCCTTCAAAGATTCTACAATACACTCCTATGCTAACAGGAAAATGTCCCTCATTTACTAAAGAAGACAGATAATATAGCACAAAAATTCTAGAGGAGGATGAATCTGTACCTACTCTACCAGAGATAGGCTAAATTAGCTTTTGGACTGGAGTTAATGGCATTAACACTCAATGTACTTAAAAAAGAGAGAATATTCACAATTAAACTAGGGGTAATAGAGAAGTCAATCCCTAATTCAGAAAAACAGCAGTTCAAAGTCAGAATCTAGAGTCAGACTACATAGGTCGGAATCCCGAAATGTGCCATTTATGAGATGTGTAACTTTGAGCAAGCTACTAAACTGACCTGATTTTGGATTCTTTACCTCTAAAGTGGAGATATTAAGAATATCTATCCAAAAAATGCAATTAGACAGTGACTGAAAGACAGCAGCACTCACAAAAGGGGCTTTTTTGTTGTTGTTGCTCTTTTCAGGAACGAAAAAAATTCAATTACAATTGCATGTTTCTTGATGGATCTTTCATTCTAATGCTGAGCAAAGTACCCATAGTACACAAGTGAACTTGCCTGTACTCTGAAAAAGAGTATATTATCATTGAAAAACATTTCAAAAACTCTCAAAATTTATGCTTTTCCACAGATCAAGAGTAAAATAAACTCATTCACGGAATTTTCATACTCATTACACTGTCTAAATCTAGGGGAACAGGCAGCAAAGATTTGTAAAGAGGGATTTAAAATGAAACTCAAACCATAATTTAGGCTTTTGGACTGCGACTAAGAGTTAAAATTAAGTTTATGCTCCTCTAGACAATTACACCCGACTAAAAGCAAATTAAGCCTTAAACAAACGTAAAATAACCACGTTAGCCAACACATTAAAAAATAAATTCACTGAATATATCTAATTCAACTCTATTCTTAGGCATCAGACCAGCACCTGGCCAACAGCAGGTACATGTTTCTTAAATGAATGAGTGACGTTAAATGTCAACACATATTTCTTAAATGCATAAATGACGCTCTAACTCCCAAAAATAATATAGAAAAGCCAATATACAATTAGGCATGACCCAGTATTTTGAAACTAATGATGACAACCTTTCTTATCACAGCTAACAATTACATCCCTTCTGGGAGCCATGCACAGCTCTCGGTGCTTCAGAGGACCGACCCCTTAGTCCCACCACCACCTTACAAAGCAGGTACTGCTGCCCCACGTTTCCCAGAGGCGGTTCCCCGACACCGCAGGGCCAAGGTCAGGCGGAGAAGCGCTGGGGCAGGACCCCCGCGCACGCTCCGAACACTCCCGCGTTTCCAGCCCCTTCCCGACACCCCACGCTTCCCCGCGCCCCGATGTGCCCTTTAACCCCGTCTACAAGAGTGTTTGGAACACACACGCCGACGAAGGAGGGGCCCACAGCGGCCTGCGGGACCGGCGCCGCCGCGGACCCGCTGCGGGAGGCCCCGCCCGAGTGCCCGGCGCACCCGCCCTCCGCCCGCAGCCCCGCGGGGCCGGGCTCCTGACCCAGCCGCGCGCTCCCAGCCCCGGCCCGGGGAGGGACGCAGGAGCGCGGAGGCCGGTGCCCTCGCCGACCCTGGGCCGCCTCCCCTCCGGCCCGTCTCCCCTCGGGCCTGTGCTGGCCAGGCGGCCCAAACCCGGGAAAGCCCCAGCCGCATCCTCACCTGCGGGTACCTGGCCGAGGATGCTCCCCGAGAACGCCAACTCCGCCAACCCTGCGCCCGCGCGCACGTCGGAGGGCGCGTGCTCGGTGTCGTGACCAATAGGAAGCTCGGGCCGTGGCCCCAGAGGGGAGCTGGGGCCAATCACAACACGCGTGGCAAGTGGGCGGTGCCTGGGCGGCAGCCCTGTCCGCCGCGTTCCTGGGACGGCGGCCGTCCCGCTTCCGCACTTGAAGAGTGGCGTCGTCTGTTCCTCAGGCCCGGGCGTCCTCGCCCAGGAGGGCGAAGGCAGGTCCCAGTGGTGTCCGGGTCCCTTCCTTCCAGCCAGGGGTGCGGCCGCTGGGGCTCCCTCCACGTGGAACTCGGCGTCGTGCTCCACATCCCCCAGCGGGCGTTTGGGCCTGGAAGGGCCGCTGCCTCTTCCCCACTCTTTGCCCATCTATTTTTGCTTTTCTTTCTGTCTCTTTTTCCTATTTACGAAGGCAGACCTCGTTCTTCCTCGAACATGACCCCTAATTTCTACGGTACCTCAGAGGCCACCCCTGCCTTGACTTAGCCAAAATTTTCTCCAAAGAATTACAACGTGTCTGGCACGTTGTAAATGCTCGGAAGGTAGCATCATTATCAGGTACCAGCCCCTTTTCTAGGCTTTAGGGTATAGGGATCAAAACTCCCTGGTGTCCTGTCCTGCTGCTTATAATATACTGTGGACACTGACACGTTTTTAAGTTACGCTTTTGTAAGCACTGATAATTTTTGTTGAGTCAGGTATGCTCTCAAATGAGGATCTTTCCCAGTATTTAACCACACTTGTATTCTTTTTTAAATTTAGGTACTGTTCAAGGCAAAGTGAGAATGACATGGTTTCGATAACGTTACAGAGAAATCGTTTTCATTCTTCTGGTCTTGCCACATGTGGACCTCTGGCTGCTCTGAAAAAATCAACCAATGAATCCTATTCGAAAGGCACACCTGTGTCAGTGGTTATTTTCTCTACACCCACAACATCTGTCAGGCTCAGGTTTTTCATCCCTGCTGTGAAAAGTTCAAGTCCGGAAAATGGAAATGAGCTTTTCTAGTTAGTGTGCTACTTTTGCACAAGTACACGATTGGGATATAGTGAACAACAGAAGGAAGACGTGGATGAATAGATGTTTTACTGTACACTAAAAAACAATCATTTCCTCAGAGGAACTGCCTGATATCCTGCAGCAGGAGTTTTGCAACAAATCTTTGAAATGGAAGAAAAAGAGCTACTACTGAGTAACATCTTTGGTGCATTGTCATCTCATTTTGAATCCTAAAAACTGTCAAATACTGGATTGGTGACTGTTTTGTAAGCTTTACCTCTGTTGCTTGTGGATCCCTAAAGTAACTTGTTAATAAGCCTGATGACCGAATCCCAAAATTGTCTTAAAAGGACTCGTGGATATTCACAATCTTCGTACAGGAGAAAGTATGATTAAACTCCCAAGGTCTAGTAGTGCAGCACTGGGAATACAAGGTGAAAAATTGAAGAATTTGCCACAAAAGATTTTATAGAATATTCTGGGCTGAAAAAATGGATATACAATCGACTTTTTTAAATAAGATAAATGTCTCAGTTGATAAGTTCTAACCTGAGTCCTAAATTAAAAAGCCAAGAGTGCAATGTCCCAGTGGTTCTTGATCAGGCACTCCCTGTGATTATAAAAATGTGTAAATGTGCTATAAAGCAAGTCCCTCATTTTTTCTAATGAAGAACTATGCCCGACAGGGTCCTTCAGAAATGAAGAACTACACCCAACAGTGTAGTTCAGAATCTTTCAGATACTTTGGACACAAGAATCATTTCCTTACAAAGTCCAAGAGCAACATGTTGCTGTATGTGGTGAGCAGAGTCATGTGATACTCCGGTAGGAAACATTCCTTCAAAACCCATTTTGGATGCAATAGCAGGAAGTTGTTTTTCTCCCTTGCCAAACAAAAACTTTCACCCAGTCAGGTTTCTGAGTTAATCAAACCACTTGGAAAAGTCAGTTACTCGCTACCAAGAGGAGTACTTTGTTTGGAAAACTAGAAAACTTGTTATTTCCTCATTTCAATTCTTTTTTTGCCCGGGCATTATTGAAATTTCTTAATTCATATTTGCTGATCACATGCCATCTATTTGACTTTTTGCTAAACATATTTATCCCTTATTTTCTTCATTAGGTGAGCTGGTTGTAATTTCTAAGACTAGAAAAACATGTGAAATTTTGATGTTTGAGGGTCTAGGAAGTCTTTATGTTGAGCGATGTTTTGCCTCTTTTCCATAATGATTTAAGGAAGAGATCATGAAGAGGCACATTGCTTGAGGTATAAGAAAATGGTTTGGCAAACTAAACCATCTCATAGAAAGGGAATCTGGCAGCTTGTGGAAGGGCAGGCTCTTAACTGACCTAGTTGAAGAATTGCAGTATTGTCTTAGGGATGGTGGTGGTGATATTAACCTCAGTAACAGATGTTAGAATCTGGTGAAAGAGCAAATACCACTTTTTTTTTTTTTTGAGAGGATTAGTTTATTTTTTCTTATCAACTCAAGTCTACCCAAATATGTCAGATGGCTAGATCTCAGGTAAGGGGTGTGTATAGTGATAATAAAAACAGACTATAATAATTTGGAGGTTTGTATGTATATTAATATAAATTTATAAAAATATGTGAGTTAATATTTATGATTATTGAAATATTCAGAAAGTTCTTTTCACTAGTACCAGAAGAATTTTCATATTATTGTGAAATATGAGGAAGGGCAGATAAAAAATACAAAGAAGGAGAAAGCAACTTGATTCAGTTAAGCTTTTTTTGTAGGGGTGGACTCAAGGGAAACTTCTGACTTTTAAGTCAAAAAAAGGAAGCAAATTTCATTTAGTCAAATATAGATGCTTTATTAACTATGTTCAGGTTGAGGGCAGTAGAGGAGAAGGCAAGACTGAGGGCTTATGAGTAGAAAAGGCTTTGGAGTTGGGAAAATTGAGTTCTAGTCCCTCCTTCATGAAACAGTTCTATTGAGAAAGAAAAAGAAAAGAAACTGCTATTAATTATGCACCTAACTTCTATCTATGTCAGACCCTGTATCAACTTTCATCACATCCCAGCCGTGTGACTTGTGACAAATTAATTTACTTCTCAAGCTTCAGTTTGCTTAGATGATAATGACAGGGTTGGGTGAGAATTAAATGACAATACTTGTAAAGCACTTAGAACAGTGTCTGGCACAAAGAAAGTAAGTGCACTGTAAATATTAGTCATAATTTTTATTTTTATGTCTTATTTTCTATCGTATCATGCTTGTAACTCACCTTTTGGATTTGTTTCTTCATCAATAAAACCCAAGGCAAAGGAAGTTAGGTTAGTTGATCTCTAAGAGCATTTACAAAATTTTGTGGTTGTTTAGTTAAAGAGAGTGAACAAGGCAAAGAGAATAAAATAAAGAGACTGAGTGGGAAAGAGACTGAATAGATTCTGGTTTGTAAATGTATCCAGTTAACATGCTGCTTATTTGGGGGCTAGGCTTCAAAGGATTTTAACTTCCGTTTGAAATCTTGTAATTAGTTGATTTCCAATTGTTCATATATCTGTATTATTTAAAAGAGATTTTCTTGACCTTGAGTCAAAGAAGGTTGTAGATATGTTTAGAAGATTTACGAACCTCCAGAAAGTGTACAGTATGTACTGTATGTGTTTTTTTCTGGAGAGAAGATCTGTCTACCATGAAGTTTTTAAAAGCGTCTGTGACTACCCCTTAAAACCTGAGAATTACTGATTTAAACCCTTCTACATATTCCATCCTATCCTCCTGCATTTCTTTCTTAGCATTTACGATGGGACAAAAATATCTTCATACTGTGACCAGTCAGAGAGTTCTGACCACACACCTCTTCCCCAGACCTCTTTGTCACCCATTTTCCAATTCTGTTCCTTTGAAGTTCATAATCACCCAGCCAATCTATTGGCCACTGCTTATGAGTCAGTATGGATATGTGCTTCTGATCATCTCCGCCTCCAGGTAAAATGAACAACTAGGGCATCGCTTGAAGTTTTGCCCACTGAAAGGGTTTCCCTTCATCACAGTCCTTCATGGTTCCTGAAAAATGGCGCTGCCGAAGGGTCCCCTAGAGTAGGGATGTAGTGCTGTAGCTGTCTACTTTCAGGTGATGCCAGTATATTATGCAGAACTATCTATAAACTAGACTAGAATTTTTCTTCCTCTGTCAAGAAAGTCCCTATGTAGCCATGTTCGGGTTGAGAGAACAGAGGCAATGCCGCAGGAGAAGGAGCCATGCAAGTCTAAGTTGCTTGTGTTATCTTAATTTTACCTCCAGGTAAATCTCGTATATAAAACTTCACCTGGATGATAGAGTGCTGCTATGCACACACAACTTTATTACTTGGTGGCTTAGACGTCTCCCAGTTCTTCGAGGGCAGATCAAGTTGAATGGTTACCTAGTGGCTCATAGTCAGATGTTCTGTCTTTATTGGGGTGCAGTAGCGAGCCAGAAGCTATCAAAAGAGAACACATCTTCAGATGATGACTGAGCTTTGCTCCAAAATTCTGAAGGTTTGCAATGTGATTCTATAAAGAGTTGTCAAAGGCTTTGTACAGCATTTCCATCTGCTGCAACCACTTCAAACAGTTTTGGATCTCCTGGGTTATCAGGCTCCAGTGGCAGATCAATTTGTACGGCAGCTTGGACCTATTACAGAGCATTGTTTTGATCTGGTCCTCATTCAAAACTGATAGGCTTTAGGTCTCTTATTAAATAAGCCAAAGCTGCACACTGCAAATCCGAAGAACCCTTCACCTTGGAAAATATATCTCAACATACCTCCAGAACATTGGACCCTAGACATTTTACCAAAATAGTAGGGCCTTGTGTTTTGAGGTGTTTGTTTCTCATCTCTGGCATGTATGTATCTAGTCAAGGTATCTAGGATATCTGCTATTTTTTTGCTCACCAGATAAGATCAGCATGATATCATCAATGTAAAAGGCCAGCATGATATATCGTGGAATATAGAGGCTATCAAGACCCCTGTGAACTAGATTATTACATAAGGCTGGAGAGTTGATACAGTTTTGCTGATCTTGCCAGGTGAAAGCAAACTGCTTTTAGCATCCTTTATTAAAAGGCACAGCCATAAAAGCATTCACCACATTAATACCTTTTAACAAGGCATGTGTTCATTGCTTCAGTGAAAAAACCCACAACTGGATTGGCATCTGCAATTGGAGTTACCATATGATTAAGTTTATGGTACTCCATTGTCATTTTGCAAGATTCAACTGTCCTGTACAACCACTACATCCTTTAGGTCCTTGGTGGAGGCCCTAAATTTCGCATTTCCTCCAAGAGTGTTATATTGCTTTTAGTTTATTATTTTGGAGGTAGAGCCAGTTCAACTTTAGCTTTCCTACTATAATAGTCCTCACTCCACAGGTCAGGAACCAATATAGAAATACTACCAGAACTTGAGTATTTTTCTTCTAACTTTGCATTTTGGAATCGGAAAAACAACCATAGAATAAATTTGGGGACCCAGTAGGCTCACTGTGAAATGGAACTGAGCCAAAACTACATTAATCACATCTATAAACTCCTTTGACTAGTGGACCATAATGATATTATACATCCCCAGGAATGAGTATCACTTTAGAACCAGTGTCCATTAATCTCTAGAAAGTGTAATTTCCCTTCCATAATGCACAGTCACTCTGGTAATAGCTGCAGGTCCCTTTGGAGATGAGGAAGAGGAAGAGTTACAGGACTAGTTTCTAGCAGTGTTGCACAGTCCCTCCTCAAGATCAGGCCTCTGTTTCATTCGAAAGGCCCGAGGTCTGTGAACTGACTCGATTCTAGAACCAGTGGAGGGGCTGTGGACTCTATATTGTGGTGATTCAAGTGAAACATCTATTCACTAGACATAAAAAATAAGTTAAGAATTTAGTAGGCTTCCATTTTCCAAATCTTTCTCAAGTTCTTCCTTTGGACTCTAACTGAGCTACTCAAGTAATGGGATTCTGGGAAATGTAATTCACCACCTTAGCCAAGTTGAAACAGCACAGTCCAGCAAGAGATAAATAAGTGTGCATTTGATTACAGTTTAATGGGATGTGCCTATTCCCACAGCTTTGTGCAAAACACTGTGGTAGTACAGAAGAAGAATTTAGGACTCCAGGGGAATTAGACAAGGATGGTTAGTGAGTGATTTATGAGCTGAATTTTAGAAGGAGGAAAGGTGATGGGGGCAAGAGGGGAACATTTCAGGCAGCGTTTCAGATATTACTCATTTGGCAAACTGCGAGTAGTTTACCACGACTGGAAGACGTGATTTAATGCATGCAGGGTAGTTACAGGAGATGAGGCTAGATGTGACTTTTTAAAAACAATCTTTAACCCAGAAATTGTGCCTGTGTTTTATAAAGATAATTTAGGCTTATAAATAAATTAGGCTGATAAAAATTAACCTACATTCATCAAAATAGAGACATACAATGAGAATTTAATTATGTCCATTAAATTTGACCAATGGAAAATATGGAGGCAATAGCAAATTGATTTTCTCCTAATTTACTTTATTTTTGAGGTACTAATAAGTATTAAAATAGCAAATAATCATACAAGAGAAGAAACTTTCTTCAAATTGGGGACGCAGACTATGAATAATAATATGGAATACATATATTGCAAAAATAAGGTAGTATTATCATAACAAAACGTATAATTATACAAATTTATAGTCGTTATGGATCAAATTGTGTCCCATAAAAATTCACATGTTGAAATCCTAGCCAGAGTACTTCAGAATGTAACCTTGGAGATTATTTCCTTATGAAAAGGCAGACACACATTGGAGACAGACATGCATATAGACACCCTAAAATAAAAGCAGAGATCAGGATGACACTTCTACAAGCCAAGGAATGCCAAAGATTGTCAAGAATCACAAGGAGCTAGGAGAGAAGCATGGAAGAGATTCTTCTTCACAGCCCTCAGAAAGAACCAACCCTGCCAACATGTTGATCTTGGAACCCTAGCTTCTAGAACTACGAGACAATAAACTTCTGTCGCTTAAGACACCCAGTCTGTGATATGTTACAGCACCCCTGGGAAAGTAACTCAATAGTACTAATTGATTTTTTTAGATAAACATAATAAAGAAATATTGTAAAATTCCTGATTATTCAACTAATCTCGGATCTATTATTTATGAACTGCTGTTTTCTGTTTATTATTTTCAAATTAATATTCAGTTATTGGAAATTAATAATTATAATGATAGTAGCTAACTCTTATGGAACATTTATTATTTGCCAGGCACTGTTTCAAGTACTTTAAGTTTATTGATTCATAGATAATACTATTAGCCCCACTTTACAAAAGAAACCCAGAAACACAGGAAAGTGAGTTGCTTAAGTTTACATATATAGTAAGTGGTAGATCCAAGGCATAAACTCAAACAATTTGGTTCTGAAATTTCCTGAAGTTTTTGGTTCTAACCACAATGCCATATTACCTATTGGTGACATAACTAATAAAGATTTTCCTGCCCCTCAAAAGAGCTTTTCCAGCTCAATGACAGGTTGTGTTTGGGATGCTGGATTCACAACAGATATCTACATGACACCAAGATGTCTGCCTGAAAATACTTAGATCACATAGTTCTAAAATATCCATATATTTTCACATAACACACATTATTTTGGACTACTTACTATATTTGAGATTTATTTTAACAGAAAATAATAATACCAATCCTCTATATTGGTTTTTATTTCTGTTAATATTTAAGTTGATTTCTTTATTAAAGAAGAAAAATCTATAATGATAATTTGGGCCTTTGTAATCGAAAAGCATATACAATAATCTTATTTCAGTGAATGGTATTAGTTTCATGTTGTGTGGGTATTATGCAGTTTAATGCCATGGAGTTCAGTAACTGCAAAAAGATTCCCATACACATGCACACACAGAGAGGGTCATTGTCTATCCATGACTATAAGCAATTATTTCCATCAAAGTGAGAGTAAAAAATGTCTTTCACTTATTTCATGACCTCTGGAGAGCTTATTGTAAATTCTTCAATTAGGATACTGATAGATGTAACTTACTAACATCATTAAAGGGGTTTCCAGTGAGGAATAAATTTTTGGTTTCTTATCCCATTCTGCAGTTGAGTAACTTGACCGAGATGCCCGCTACAATTCCATGGCTCTCCTTATGTTGAGCAGGGAGCTCTATGCTTCAAAGGCCCTGGATTTCCTGGCACAAGCTCCTACATTTCCTGAATTCTGGGCACCTTACCACCTTTCTGCACCATGCAACACAACTGCACAATGACTCAATAATAAGACTTTTCCAGTTACCCCTCCTATTTTTCTATGATGCCAGCTCCTAGTGCTTAGAGGCAGATTTTCAAATTTCTAAAGAAAAAAAGACTAAAGAAATCAAAGTGTTACATATTTAATACTGGGAAGTTATGTATGGCTCTTTTGCAGAAGGAATACAACCTATGTCCAATGTCCAATAGCATAGAACTGAAGGCATTGGAAATTTTAATGGGTTAGAGTTTAAATGTTAATCATAGATTAAAGTTCTATTTCTTCCTACACAGGTCTCATCTTTTAAACTCTTATATAATACATATATATCTTGAAGCATGTGAAATTCAAGGTTGTGCCAAGGATATCTATCATCTGTTTATCTATGTCCCTTTCTCCCCCTTGTTTCATCTCAGGGAAGGAAAATAAGCAACGTTTTTAATGAAATTTGTAGATACTGTCATATCTGTTAAAATGCTTTTGGTTGTAGGTGACTCAAAGTTACAGCCTCTTCTACTATGCACCCTGCCTGTCTCCTTCCTCTATCCTTCTTTTAATCCCTTCACAGCCTTCAAAATGCAAATGACGCTTGTGAGAAAGCTTCCTAAACCTCTTTGTGTCTTTTCTCCTCATCGATTCCGTAACTCCTTGTCCATCTCTCTCTTTAGCTTTTATCCCACCTCTCCATCACTTGTATCGCATAGACCACTTATTCCAGGAATTGAGTTCTCTTTGGGGACAGCACAGCTTAGAGGTAAAAAATAGAGTCTTTGGAGTTTAATCACCGCAGCCACTTAGATAAGGTGATTTGCTCACTGAGTCTCAGTTTCCTCATCTTTACTTCAGTGATAAATACTAAGAGAGTGTATATGCAGTGGTTCGCACACAGTAGGTACTCATTAAATGAAGGTGATTATCAATTGCCCGATATCTGATGCAATTTTTGATGCATAGTAGGCAGTTAATAAGCATTTGTTCAATGGGTGAGCGAATGACCATCCTGAGCTCTGGTTCCTGAATTACTGACACTTAGGGTCTCCTCTCTGCATGCTGTTGTGCTCTCCCTGCTGTGTGATTTGCTGCCTCTCTGGCTAAGCGGCCTTGGGTGCTGACTTCTCCTGGCTTTCCTGGCCTGTTGTGAGCCACACCCAGGCCCCCACAAATCGCATTTAGCACAATGCGCATCACTGCTCACCCTTGTCTAGACTTTTAGCAGAACTCAGAGCCTCTGGGAGGCTATCACTCATCATCGTAATGGCTGATTATAAATTGTGAGGAACAAAATTCCTTGTCTTGGGAATTATCCAGTGTTATATGCTGAAATGTGTTCCCTCATATTCATACATTTAAGTCCTAATCCCCAATAGCTCAGACTGTGACTTGATTTGGGGTTAGGGCCTTAAAAGAGGTAATTAAGGTACAAATGAGGTTATTAGGGTAGGCTCTAATCCAATATGGTGTCCTTATAAGAAGAGGAAATTAGGATACAGATACACACAGAGGGAAGACCATGTGAAGAAACAGAAAGAAGACGGCCATCTATAAGCCAAGGAGAGAGGCCTCAGTGAAAAGCAACCTTGCCGACACTTTGATCTCAGACTTACAGCCTCCAAAATTGTGAACAAATAAATCTCTATTGTTCAAGCCACCCATTCTGTGGCACTCTATTTTGGCAACTGTAGCAAACAAATACATTCAGTTTGTCCTACCCTTCACAGTTGTGGAAAGAAGATTGTCTCAGCACCAGAAGATCTAGATTGAGCCTGTTAACTATGGCAATGAATCAAAACCAAACTAAAACACGATCTTGTCAAAATAAGAATGCTTGTAGATAGGTAATAAGGAAGTGGATTTCACATAAGATCATTTCCGTATGAGATCATGACCCTAAGAAGGAAGAAAACAGTGGAGTTCATTGTGACTACTGTGGACAGAATAATAATGATTTTTCCACAAATGGAAGACAAATTAGGATCATTTAGCGCAGACAAAACTGATGTCCATGTTGAGCTATTACAGACTTGTGAAGCAGTTTTTCTAAGTTTCCACTGATTTTTCACTCTGTTGACAAGCATGTAGTTCATTCTGAACTCAGGAGCTCAACTTTACATTCTGACTTGGAAATGCCATTCTTGGTTCCTCAATTCCCGTTTACTTGAAGGCAAGTTCTACAGCATCTCAATTTTAGGTATTACTCATTAAACATTGACTTCTTTTTAGTAATCCTGCCTTACAGAATCGTTTAAAGAGGGTTATTAACTGATCAATATTTTAAGGCATTGAAGCCGTGTAGGTAAGTCCTTAAGCACATACATCTGATTTTAAGAGTGATTTTGGTAAAGAGAAGGGATCTGGTTTTGAGATTCAGATTTATTACCAAACAAATAACTTGATGTTCTTGTTTTCCTTAGTGATTTATCTGGATAATTCTACTGCCTTCAGTAAATAACTGATTAAAACAAGGGTACAAAAGATGGTAAAAGTAAGAGTTGTCTACTTTTTGGCCCTAATTTTTGAATTAATTAATTAATGACTGTTTTATGAACTCCTTGAGGTCCAGGGTGACATCTTATTCATTTCCGTGCCCACACCTTACTCATAGCCTAAAACATAGTCCAGAGTCAATCAATAACTTTTGAATAAGTAAGAGAGAAACAAATTATCTTGAGAATCAACAGAAATAGTAAAAATGTTGTTAAACAAGAATAGGAAAAAGCTCCATTACTTATGTCCAAGAATGAAATAACAGATTAATCTATTTTAAACAATAGGTCATAAAAATAATAGGTCTAGTTTATGCTTTTAATTGTCCTGGCATAATTACAGCATCTTGTTTCCCTCTCAAAAGTGTGCCAGTTTGGATCATATATTATGCTTTCACTCTACTTATAAATGTTAAGATGTAAGTGTTTCAGTAAAATTCTTCCAAATTGTTTCAGTATTTGTTTTCTAGTAAACGTCATGAAACAACCATTCAACCTTGTATTTGGGGAAAGTATCTCTACCTGCTTCTACCTTCTCTTTACCCTGGCCTAGATCAACCACCTAGTTTCTCAAAATCAGTTTCTTTCTCAAAGAGCTAGGAATCAAGGCCTGAGCGATGAAATGGATTATTTTCTTGTTGAATGCTGAAGAGGGCATTTGATAAAAACCAAATAATGTTGTTGTCCAATATATTCTTTCAGTTAAACTTTACTTTTTAAAAAAATTTAGACTTTTGAACTATAATGATATTTACAAAATACTTTCAGAACCCTTGAATCTAAGTTAATGTTTTCAAAATTATTTTTTGTAATCTTTCACTTATAAATGTTTTCTATATTTTTAAGTGCTGTTGTTTATGATCCTGCAGGTTAACTTATAAAAAACAATGACAACAACAACATTCATTTATAATTTTAAAAATAAAATCAGGAAATTTAGGTCATACTAAATAAAATGAATTTATAAAATATTCATAAATGCACGTTGCAGAGAAACTTACATATATAACCAGGCAGCAAATAATACTGGATTCTCTTCCATGTTTTGTATGTTTGTTCATCTTCTCAATGCCACATATTTCTGTAAATTTGTGATATTTTTTGAGTAATCTCATAGACCTTATTTTATATGACCATTTTGGAAACAAAGCAGTAAAACAAATTCTTAAATTATATATAATTCCTTTTCTGCACATGAATTTTTATAGGAAATGAATTTTTATAGGAAACTGTTTAATTTGTATGTAAATTTGCTATCCAAGGTCGTGTGATAAAATCCGCATTTCCATCCATATATCCAGGCTCACACAAGCACATGAAACCATCCTGCAGGCTGCCATATTCTCATGCCTATTTTCAGCCTTGCTTAGTTTGCCCAT